AGGAGCAGCGGGCGCGGAGGCCGGTGTGGAGAGCGCGATCCCACGCCTCGCACACCGCCGGGGTCGGGAAGCGCACCCAAAAGGAGCCCCCTGTCGTCAGCGTGAGGAGGGCAAAGCAGGCGGCATCGGCGGGGTCCGCGGCGGAATCGGGGGCAAGGCGGTCAAGCGCAAGGACGGCCCCGCGCATCCGCACCGGCCCCCCGTGCTGGAGGCGGTAGCCGAGGAAAAAGCGATCCGTAAGGAAGAGATACCGCGTCTTCCACTTCCCCGTCCACTCCGTCTGCTTGCGGACAGTGGCCTGGAGCAGAAGGTTCCCCCAGCTTGCGTCGGCTGTTGGCTCGAGTCGGGTGGGAACCTCGGGATTCGTCTCCGCCGTAGAGGTTGCACTTGACGCGTTCTCTTCGATCATGTGACTCCTGGGATCGGCGGGGTGGACATGGGGATCCGAAAACCTTTTCACACCGTTGATGTAATTCCGAGTCGAATCCTCGTTCTCCCAGGAGGCGCTTTCGCTAAGAATTGGAGCCGCATTGGTGAGCAGAACGGGCGCGTCGTTACCAGAACAAATCGCCTTCACCGGAGACGGAACCGTGAAAGTAAGCTTAAGTGCCGCCAAAAGGCACTTTATCCATTCCTCGTAAAGCATAGAATCGATCGCCCTCACCGTCCAGCATGGCCCTTCGATTAGCCACACAGAAAACATGAATCCTTTCTTTTTAATATCACAGCAATCCAGAGAGGCTACGGTCCCCCACTTCTTTTCTGCCGTATGTTTTTCCACCCGGTAGGCCAAACGATTGCCATCTAGTGTAAAGAAACGTTTATCCCAGGCGAAGCGCCATTCTGCCTTCTTCTCGAGATAAGACTCGATAAAAAAACGCCCGTGGAGGTAGGATGACATCCTTAAAATATCTGGACTTCAATTTTTCACAAGCACAACGGGGTATTTTTTTTTTAGGGGGGTGGGGGGAAGTTGTGACAGTCTTTGGACTACAAAAAATGAACGTATCAAGGTAAACCTAATAGGAATAAAATAATAGGTAGGCTGCTCTATCGAGTTCGTGTCTAAATCTGTTTATGTGCCTTGGAATACGACTGCAAAGAAGTAAACATACATTTAAGCATTCATGAGGCGCATTAACTACAAAAGAACCCAAGAATAGCTATCGGAAGGAAACAAATCAAAAGCACCATACCACATATGAACTAATAAAACCTAAAATGCGTGCACAGAAAGCAGAGCATAAGGGGAAATATACTTACAGACGTCACGAGCATTGCGATGAGTCCTTCTGATCCACGTCGAATCCCACAACGAACAAAAGTCTATACCTGAATTCACCGCACTTCTCCTGTCGTAATCACTCCCATACTCACCTAACCTCGCTCCTTTTCCACAATATCCTTATTTTTCTCGTATTTTCCTCTGTGGTTTTGTCGACAAACCCTCTCCTCTCCCATGGTCAACCCAGCAAGGGGTGCTCCTCCGTGTAACCTAGAAGCTCACGAAGTTCACGGAGCGTTTCGCGTGCCCCGCGCCGCTGTTCCACTGCGATCCGCTCCACCGCTGCCACCTCATCACCACCACTCATCGCGTACGAGAGGAGCAGCGCATCGCGCTCCGCAGCCTGCCACGGTCTGCCGCCATCTGCCGCGATGCCCTCGACGGGGTGACCGTCCGAGGCGCCACAAAACGCGCACGTGGCGGTGTACTTTGTCGATCCGACGCCTCGGCAGGATCCACGTACGATGGGAACCCCCTCTATTCTGCTGAGCTCGGTGTAAGGCGTGAAAAGCGACCCCGCCGACGATGAGGGTCCAGAAGAACACGACGAGGAAGAAGAGGTAGGGGGAGAAAGGCCCCGACGCCTGTCGCGATCACGCAGAGCTTGGGCAAACTGAGGAAAGCTAGGCAGCGTTGAGGTGAACTGCTGCCATTTGGATTCCTTCGACATTGTGGTAATGATCGTTTGATAACCATGATGGCATTCATCAAACAAGGTACGCGGCTGAGCTCCGTCCGTGGCCACTTCGTTGCCGATTGGGGTGGTAAAATGAGAGGGAGGCTCGGCCGCCTGACGTTCGCGCTTCAAATTCCACACAATGCAAGGTGCTTGAATCGAGTGCAATGGATTTGGTGATGAGATAATGAACAGTGGCTGCGTGGTCGGACCCTGCTCATGCATTACCATCACCGTGCGGAAGGGCAGCGTGCCATTGGTTTTGCGCAGGATAGCCTCGTTAAAGGCGGGCACGAGATCCAACTCATCCTGCGGGTCCTCTGCGATAATAGTTCGCAGAAAAGTAATAGGACGTCGAGACGCTACGGAATCCTGATCCATCTCTCTTTCCGACGCCGAGGATGACAAGAATAATGCTTGCCAGGCTTCAATTTGAGCCTGGAAAGCCGCCATAACATCATCATTGTTCAAGTCCGTATGCGTGAAGCAGGTGTGCTTACCTCGAAATAGCAGCCACGTGGAGACGGGGTCTGGGGTAAACGGGCGTTCTTCCAGAGCACCCGGGAAGAACTCCTCGTCGAAACCCTCCTCAACCAGTTTAATAAGGCCGTCGAAAGTGCAGCGGACCATGTCAAAGGGAAGACTCTCCTCTGGTGTCCGCAAACCAAGCTTGGAGAGCACCAGTGAAGGACCGTGCCATCCGCCAAGAGAAATCCATCGACGCATCAAGGTACCAACTCTATGATGGATTCGCCGAGACTCTTCGCGGAAATTAATGAATTTAGTGATTTGAATGTGCGCGAACCCCGTTTCCCCTTGACCTGCCTTTTCCACTCCACAATGTCAATCACGACTACTAGCCCCCCCCCTCCCTTTTCTAGCTACAGCAGCTACTTTGCGTACCGCTGCCTCTAGTATTTCCTCTCATAAATGAAATTTTAAAAGAAAGACAACAGAAAGAAAAAATAGCAACGAAAGGTGAAACAAAAACAGGATTCTACAAAGAGTCCTCTTTCTCACCTCGTTGTAGAAATAAATCATACGAGCTTGTAACCCGATAGATGTTAGCAGAAAAAGAATTAAAATATTGCCAGCAATCAAAAGGGGGACCATCTCGCTGTCAAATGGTATTTTTGTAGTATTATTAGGCCCCTTTTAATATTCATTTAAATAGATACCCTCAGTTGAAGAAGATTTAAAATAAATCATGTGCTGTATAACTTTTAATAAGTGACAACCCCTTCCATGAAATATACAGACCGCAAGCAAATGCTTGATCAGACATATATATATAAACATACACATATATGTAAAAGTTGCCCATGTGGATCGTGAAATTCAATTAAATCACGTCGTGAAACTAATGTATATGTATAAATCTGCGCAGATTTCCCGCAGATCCTGAATTTCATTACATTCGTATGCTCATTCATTCCCCGGTGCACACTCCTTACGTTGTAACCCTCTTTTGCGTGAAAGAGGAATGGTGTCTATACACCTGCGCAATAAGCTGATGTAGAACTATTCGCAACTGACTTTGTGCCTTGACTAAACTAAGCCGTTCATCAGGATTTCGCCTCGTAAGGCTGCGGACTATCGCAAGCTCAGGGTACGTCTGAATGATCCCTTCATTTGGAAAGAGATCGTCTCGAACGTTGCGGAGCACCTCAAGACGCTCCGACATTGTCTTGGGTAGGATGTACAGCTCTGCCAACAATATTCCAAAGGAGAAAGCGTCAGAGGCAGGTGTGCATACTCCACCACCAAGCTGCTCAGGACTGGAATAAATCGGCGACCCTACTCCAGTAGTATTCACCCCCTTGGTAGCTGAAGGCCGCTTCCCCACGCCGTCGAACCCGGGGTGATTGAGAAGCTTGGCGAGACCAAAGTCACTCAGTCGAACTTGCACTAGCATCCGTTGGAGCCATTTAGTAGTCTTACGCACTTCAGCATCTAAAGTGGAAGCTACCGCAGCAGTAACAGGAGAATCGATAGTAGCGGTGGCAAAGGTCGAGGACTGAACAGATGAGAAGTGCCTTCGGTTTTGGATTATAAAGTCCTCCGCATTGCAGTGCGGAGTGTTCATCAGTAAAGAGATGGCTTCTTCGTCGTAGTTGGGCTCGACTATATTGGTCTTGTTCGCCAGAATTTGAGATTTATGGAGGTTAAAATCCTGAAAGGGAGCCCTAGATGGAAGCATCACGCGCATATTTGTATATTTATCATTGAGCGATGGTGTAGCTCCACACCAGAGTCCACTGAGGTGTAAGAAATAGTTTAGGTCGGGTCTCTGGCTTGCAGGCACAAGAGCCCCGACGGATCGGTTCGGGACATCAACCATTTCTCTCCAAGTACTACAACGCCACCTTGGAACGCACACATCACCCTCAGAAACGGCTTCGTCGGTGTCTTCATTTTCGCCTTCGGCATCCAAGCTACTGTCACTTCCGTCATCAAGGTTGGCATACTGACAGCGGAAGTCCAAAAGGACGTTGCTCGGTTTAATATCCCGATGCAAAATACCACGTCGGTGCAAATGCCGAAGACCCGCGATAAGCTGCAGCGCGATGACAATGTTCTCCAGCCGATCCACGCTCGCTCGCTGCGCGAGGTGATTAGCGAGCGTCGTCTGACAGAACTCCATTTGCAAAAAGACGACACGAGAGCCAATTATAGTGTCCCTGCCTTTGTTGTCACCAGAGAGTTTTCTCGCTGGTTTGGCTGCTTTATGGTGAAGTGGTGATAAGGCGTACGTTTCCGTGAGCGATGACCCCTCCACCGAGGAGTCCGTTGAAGAGCTCGAATGCCCCTCCGTGGAGGGGCTCCGATCGGACGACAAGTACGAGGTGTCCTCGTCGCCCGTGTGGTCGGACTCGGCGCCATCCCCGCAGTCGAGGGTCAGGGGCCGCCCCAGAGGGCCCGCCCCCCCGCCCCCCAGCTGCAGCCGCAGGTTCCCCCAGCCCCCGCTGTAGCTGACCCTACGGCCGTGGGAGGGCGGGGACCCCCCCTGGCGGGCCGACGCCGGCCCCCGGTCATCCCAGGCTGGGCCAGGCCGGGCGTCCCGCGCCGAACTCCCGGGGCCGTCCCGGGGCGGACG